AAATTAGCATGAGTCGGGAGACATGCCGCTGTAAGAGAAGTTTCTAAAACTATGATAGAATACTCACTTCTAAGGGTACCGAGTCAATGAAGCGACAATGCTTGTAACCTGCATATTTAAAGAATATATGGTCTTAACTGTTATCTTTTTTATTTACGAAAGAGTTGTACCAAAGAGTAGAAGCATTACAATTTTTGTTATCTAATTTTGTCGGAATTTTAAGCGACATATTATCCATATAATAGAAGTATAAATGGTGATTGCACAGGTAAAAGTCATTGCCATATTTTCATTTTTTTATTGTACCTCACGTGAATAATAAGTACATCATGGGACTCGGATTTTAAAAGAATATCCTTCAGGTTGTACGTGTGATGTTCAATTGAACTATAAATGGTGCATAGTAAAGTCAGCTAAAATTTGCATAAAAAAATTAGTATAAATCACTTTATAATTTTATTTCCACAGTAAAAATGCGGAAGAAAACCTCTGTCGCCAGCTCACCCCCACCCCCGTTTGGCGCATTGTATTCCTCAATGTTTTGCCCATTTATGTTCTTTATGCCCCGGTAACATATTCACGGACAACGCCACGGAAGAGCTACGGTCTAATCGTTCACGGATTCCTACGGAAAAGTAAAATTCAGTAGTCCGCTACGGTTCCAGTACGGAAACACAACGGTATGAGTACGCAGTTCGACGGATTAACCGCCAAAATGTGGGTAAAACCCAGGAGAGACAATGATTGTTACGGACCGACGCGGTTTGATACGGAGCGACACGAATCAGGACAAAAGAACCGCGGATTCACTACGGTCTGCTACGGTATAAGCACGGGTTAGAACGATTAAGTACGGTCTGATACGGAGAAGAACGAATCGCCACGAATCTATACGGACCTATTATATCCGTCCATGACCTCTTGCATGCTCATTTTCAAAATGCTTCACAAGAAAAGAACATCTAGAAAACGAACTGCAGAGTTCAATGATTCTGGCGGAGAGAATTCGGCCTCATCGCTACCCACCCCCGGGACATATCACGTCCGATCCTAGTGAATTTCTTGTAGGACGCCGGAGCCTCAGCAACTAGTTCGGACATGAGAGCCTCATACTGGCAATGAAGGAGGCTTCGTTAAAGCCAATCTCTAGCCCACCAACTTCTCTGTCAGCTCTTACCTGATTAAATATGTAATCATTAATCAATACTGCTTTTATTTTTTTTTAGAAATTGGCTGTTCATTTAACAATTGCATTAATTATTGTGAATGTTTATGTTTAAGGATATAATATGTAAAAAGCTTGTAAATTAATCTCAGTATCACTCAAGGGCTTATGAATCACTTCGTTTTATGAACATATTTACTCCAATCTCACGATCCAATGTTTTGTAAAATATGCAACCTTAAATGTTATTCTATTACTAATGCATTGTATTACCATATTAATATATTTTGTACCTCTATGCATGTCATCAAGCAGCTCGACCACTACCTCCGCATTCTGAGGCATTTCAATATACAGTTGTAGCCAGTTAATGGCAAATATCTGTTATTGAATGTTCATGATTATGTTCGTAACATGAAAACGTAAATATGTCTGTTTTTAACAAGAAGGTAGTATTCATACCCTTGAACAATGACATGATACTCAATTTATCCGTATTAAACAGTGGTGGACCATACCATTCCCTACCGTTTCGTGTTGCAACGCAATAAACCGTAAAAGACCGTGCTAATTCCTGCCTCTCCGTAGTAAAACGTATTACGCTCGTGTCTTTCCGTGACAATGCCGTATTTATTCGTATTAAAACCGTAGCTTATACGTAGGTTAACTGTACAAATACGTAGTTCTCCGTATCAAACCGTGGAAATCCTTTAAATGTTGGGGCCTACGAATCAGCATGGACTAGAACGGTTTTCGTACGGACCAGTACGATTTATTACGGACTAGTAGGAATACGCTACGGTTGCTTTTCCGTAGAATATTTGTGTGCATGTTCAAAAATTGTCAAGGATCAATACGGATATACAAGGACGACTACGATTGATTACGGTTACAATACGGAGAGCTACTGACCAGTACGGGTAGCTACGAACGATGCCAGAATTAGTCCGTAGCTCTTCCGTAGTCGTCTTCAGTGAATATGTGACCGGGGTCTTACCTTGCAGAATGACTTTTCGGTGGTCTATAAGTCCGAAATTATATTCATACGTGCATGTGCGTGTACTCGTGTTTATCTAAGGCTATACAAATTGAACAAGCTCTGTACATCTTCAATCTCTTTATCCTTTATACCCTTGATCGTCGATTTTCATAACGCTTCTAGCTGAACCACTCAGGGGATCAAGTGACTTTGTATAGTAGTAATACAAACGAATAATAACGACTTCTGAGCCTCGTTAAGTTCATTATTTTTATAAATTTAGATGAAAACGTTTCCTATATCTAAACTAGATATAGCTTATCATATGCACGGTAATTTCTTTAAATATAAATGCCAAGTGCAGTGTTCTACGTGTTATGGTTTTCGAGAACATTGTTAGAATTGTGTGAAAATTGAAATGCAGCTGTAGTAAGTCACACAAGACGGTATAATTTTGTACCAAAATGAATGAAAAAGAAGTTTTCGTTCTTCACTAAAAACACAAAATCAAGCAAAAAATTGACATTGACATCTTTTATAGGATAAGTCTTGCAGAATGACCTGTACAGTAGTGGTAATAAATTCTTTGCACAAAAGTGAAGTAACATGAAGGTATTCACTGAGCTTCGAAGGGAGCGTATATATTATAAAACCATTGAATGGCATATTGTCACTTTACAATAGCCAAATAAATTTAATTTATATGGGTCATTTTATCCTGGTTGCGTATCATATCCATGTGTTTATTATAGTCTGATTTATTGACCTGTCAATTTTGAATACACTATAGCTCTCATTTAAATACTCGATCTTGATTCGGCACTTTGATGATGACGTGATGTTTAATTTTATTTGAATGTATGTTTTTTGTGACTATGTGTATTTTTTCAAGTCTTATATGAATAAACTATCTCTCTATCATTTTAGCTCTCAATTAATTATTCGATCTCAATTCGGCTCTGTCCGTATACGATGATTAATATTTAATATACAGCGAAAATTAAGTACAAAGCAAAAGGATTTATTGTCAATGAAGGAGTTTCTCATAGTACCCAAATTAAATTAAATTGACCAAATAAATTAAATAGTTTATCTATGAAAATAAAGCAGTCATTGCTTTAATCATGTGGTCAGGGATCATCAGCAAGCTTGAAAATCGGCGAATGTTAATTAATGTCGCGGCGTCTTCAAGTGATAAATAAAGCAATTCAGTTTAATATGATGTTTTCATAAATAACATATTATGTACGTAATAAAATTAATAAGTTCTTCATCAAGATATACTTCAGTTTTTCAAGCGTGTACACCTATACCGGAAGTGGGTGTAATACGTCATAATTTCGGTATCGTCTGTTTTGCGAGAGTGAGAAAACGCAAAATGGCGGCGCCCATGAACGTATTTCTCAAGTAAAATCTAGTGTCTTAAAAAACACGAATTTCTCAGTTATGCGGTTGATGTCAACAGAAAAACTGTCATGGTACCTCTTTTGAAATGATAAAAATTTATATTAGACATACATCAATCTATCCATTCCTATTCCTTTAAAGAATTCACACTAGCTTAATAATGTGACTGTCACGTACGCTATAGCACGATATGTTATGGCGTTACCTAATATATGAGTGTTCTGTGGTTCAATCCATTCTTTTGCCAATTGTTTGTTTGTTGTTTTTTCCCCTATTCTTTCTTTATTTTTGAGTATATTTTAATAAAGTGCTCATAAATTGCCTACATCGATAGGAAGCAACTTAGAAACCCTGATTTTTTGTCGTTTTGTATTGTTATTTACGGCACAACTGAAATGAAATTTATTGAGTATAATCCAAATGCATTTAAAAGCCATATTATTTCAAAAGTCTTTACTAAAGACTTTACTAAAAAAAAGTGCAAAACATAATAAAAAAATGAAATACATAAAAAATCAAGGTTCAATTATCAAGTCGAAAATGCATATAGTTATGAATAAAAAGAAATACGGGCTTACGTGTTCTCAATCCCGTAGTATTGCGTTATAACGGTCAGTATAACTATTACATCAAAACAAATTTAATGAAATTACATCTTACTTCGCACATTTCACGAAATTTTACCGAAAATTTATCAGTTGTGTTCATTGACCACAGTATCAGTATGCAATTGACAGGCTAATAAAATCAAACAATAACAGGAATACAATACAACAAGTCATTTGACATTAAAGAGCAAATATAATGGGCGCGTCCGTGGCCGAGTGGTTCAGGTCGTTGACTTCAAACCACTTGCCCCTCACCGCTGTGAGTTCTAATCCCGACAGGGACTTTGGATTCTTTCAAGTGAGAATGCTATCCAGCTAGTTTACGGAACGTCGGTGGTTCTACCCAGGTGCCCGTTCGTGCCTGAAATAATGGCACCTGAGGTCTTCCTTCACCAGTAAAGCTGGAACGTCGCGATATGACATATACTGTGTCGATGTAAAACCCAAAACAAACAAACAAACAAATATTATCTTGTTGTTTATGTTTATTTACTAGTGCAGCTGGTAAATTTTATAAAATATTTCATAAGCTAAAGCTTTACACCCTTTAACCTTTGTGAGACTATTGTCATTAAATAATTAAATAATAATGAAAATATTTTGAAGCAAGTATATGGTTAGTTAGCCTTGACATGGTCTAAAAATCTTATTATAGGTCGGTATTTTACAAGTATCATATTACTTGTTATGTTTACAACCGATAATTAAAATATCAGATCAAAAGTCGAGTGGTTTAATACGATTTTCTCTAAAACATATGCCCTCTACTTATTTTACACATCAGCGAGTTATCAAAATTATAGCAATTTAGAGCTTAAGTTTATTTTTTATGATACAGATGTCACGCTCTCTACGTATTTTTTTTTACTCTCTCATAAAGATTGGTAAATTGACGAGGGTTTAAAAAAGTTGAATGTATTAAGTGTATAAAAAATGTTAATCACTAAGTACAAAGAGGATATTCTCGTACTAGTTTTGTCTCATGATTTAATTTATCATCATACGCTAATGTTTGGATACTCACCGAAATAATACAAAGTGTTGATTCAATCGAATCGTGCACATCTGTGTACACCTATTTGATTCTGTAACCCCTTCTTATCGGCGATGAAGTGTGATCTCACAAATAGGAGTATAGATAGGGGTTATGGAATAATAATAGTATGTTCTTCATTCTGTCTTATTACCATAACAGATGGTATCTTGTTTTCGTTTGGAATATTAATGGTAGAGCTAATAGAAGAATTCAACAAAGATCGTGCTACTAGTGCAATTATAGGGTCCATTTTGATAGGTTTTTGCGGTTTTAGCGGTGAGTATGAACTAAAACAATTAAGAAGTTTTTGTTAAATTAATGTTTTTGAAGATATACCATACCTTTGTTCAAATTACTTCAGCATTTGACATGTTAAATGTCCATGCTATCAACATACGGAAGGTTGATGCTTCTACTCGGGTGTCCACTCGTTTCTGATAGAATGTACACAGATGCACCAGTCAGTTATAGCTGAGACAAGTCTCAAAAATCGCCGTATGCACTTTAAAATTCTCGAACTGACTTTCCAGACCAAATCCCTGGAAACAAACGTTGAGCGAATGAGATTCCGTTATAACAAATATATAATTTCTTTTTTATGGAATAATTTATAGAAGTTTAAAATGACTCACTTTTGTTCTCAATTCTTTGAAGATGTATCCTCGGCTTCTATAGTGCATTTATTTTTTTTAATATTCAAATTTAGAAAAACAAAAGCTGGATTTAATAAAAAATAATTCGTCTCACTGCAGGTCCTTTTGGTGGTGGTCTATGTAATAAATATGGTTATCGCACTACCGCGATAGTTGGAAGTTTTGTATCGTGTACAGGTTTATTTATCAGTTACTTCGCCACCAGCCTATATTTCCTATATTTCTCATACGGTTGCCTTGGAGGTAAGTAAAATTCTAAAGGGTATAAACCCTTATCTTAATATGCATTTTTATATAAAATTTATGAATCATGGTAAAAATATGTTGAGTTTTTCTTTCGACATCCCTTTGGTAGATTCTTGAAAGAGCTGTGGTATAGATTGTATTTTTTAATTAGAACAAATATGTATAGTTTACGTCAACCAAACATTTATTTCATGCGTAAACAGAATAAAATGTTTCGGAAAAATAGAACGTTATGTGTGTGTGTAATTTGTTTAGTCATGTTTTCATTATCAGGAACGATTTCGTTTCTTGCATGCGCAATTGACTCTTTAGGAAAATATATGACATATTTCATTCATACACGAATTTGGAATTATTCCTTGCCAAAAATAATACAAAATGTACTAGCTAAGATATCTTTTATAAAAATAGGATTTTTCAAAAGATTGTTCTTTATTTGCAAACAATAAAGATGAACGTGTTATTGAAGTAGTATATTGACACATTAGGATATCTTTAATTAGAGATGATTTTATGCGCCTGTAAGAATACTTTTCATCCACTCGCCTTAGAATGGCCGGGCCGGGCAATTTAGTGTTTCAGTGTTCCGTCAATTATCAGTTATCGTACATTATCTTGGCAATAGTCGCACACATTCAAATTTTACATATGAATACATCATAGGGATGTGTAGGTCAAGTTCGAATTTTGTTATGGTCCGATGACTTCTGACAGAGTTATGCCCCTTGAACATTTTTTGTTCCCTCCTTAATATTAGAATTCAATACAAATTTGACAAATAGATTCAATGATTTTGAACAAAGTTATCCTTCTTGAATGTTGACAAAATTAAATGTCCGCACGTTTGTTTGTATAAGGTTGAAATCGCATGTACCAGTTTTTTACCAAAAAATACAAGTCATTTTGTTTTGGTCCGATACTTTTTGACAGAGTTATCCTTCTTGAACTTAAGAAGTTTGTTAAGAAAATAATAATATCATATCGTTTTCGTATTTTGTAATATCTTCAATATATAAATGTATCCTTATGTTTATTGATCTAGTGTTTTCGTGAAAATATATTTAAATCATTTTGTCTGTAATATAGGTGCTGGCCTAGGACTTGTTTACATGACAGCAAATGTAATAAATGTACACTACTTTTCTAAATACAGAGGCTTAGCTTGTGGAATAGCATTATGTGGATCAGGTAAGACTTTTTTTATAATGAAATATTTAAAATTTGTAAAAAAAGAAGAACAGACATTTTGTAATAATCCAGAATGATAATCATTGCTCGTTACTATTTTTGAATTTTAAATGATCCAGTCGAATTTTACATAGATGTTTTGCTGTCGATTGAATGAATATAAGAATGGCAGATTATTCCATGAAAAAATCGTCTCTTTGCTCAATGCAGCCTTTAAATCTTTGATTATTTAGTTGCCTTTACGCCCAGATAATTGTCTTGAATACCCTTAACTCATTCTTTGGTTCTAATAGTTTACAAGATATTCGTAAAATATTCACAAAAAGAAAATGATTAATCAAAATTTTTAAAGAAACGTATTGAAGAAAATCACCTCTAACAGAGACTTAATTGTTATTTTAGTGTGCATTATTTATTATCAATGACTCTAAGCTGCATAGTATCTATTAAACTTTGTGTTAAAATTGTGTTATACAATGTTGGTTATGACTTGAAATGTTATAAATCGAATAAAACACACATTCTTTTGATATAGGTGTAGGATCATTTGCTTTTAATCAGGTATATCGTATTCTCATACACGAATATGGTTGGAGAGGAACTGTTTTGATTCAGTCGGGGATATGTCTTCAATGTCTGGTATTTGTTCTTTTTCTTCTTCCACCGACAAAGGATGACAAAAGTGAAACTCTTGCGTCTCAAATGACGATAGTTTCCATAATAAGTGATGGCGAATCAGATAATGTTTGTAGAAAAGTGGACAACTGTGCACATGAAAATGATGTGGACAGAGAAGTAGACAGTATTGACAATAATCGCATAAATGAAAGATCAACAAACAACTCTAGTACAGAGCATCACAAAGAAAAAGAACGTACTAAACAATCTTGTATAATGCACAATCCGTGCCTCAAGTATTTTTTCAAAGAATATTTTGACACTAAACTTCTAACCGATATGAGATTTTGGATATTTATCTTATCCACTATCATCGTACATCTAGCATTTTCTGTGGTAGTACACATGACTGCTGACAGTGCTGTAGAATCAGGAATGTCAAAGTTTGAAGCGTCATGGCTCGCGTCGTCAATTGGTGAGCTTTTATTTCATTAATTATATTTAAATCTAGGGGACAAAGTAAATTCGCAATAAATACATAATAAAGATTGTTTAGATATCTTAGGATGCCTCTACTGTATATTGAACCCGACTGAATGTTGTTATTTGTGATGTATTAAACACGACTCATATCCATATCGATGGGTGCCCTATTTGAGAAATCTGCGGTAACCCTCTTTGCTCATGTACAGGTAATTCTCTGCTGAAAACAATTCTGGGGGATGTACCAATATCTTACATAATATCTTAATGTTTTGTAACATTCATAATCAGCAAAAAATGACCTCTACATGAGCAAAGAAGGTACCGTTTTAGAAGACTTTGCGAAGTGGGTATCATATGGATATGCACAGTGTGAAAAAATGAAACATTGATAATTACAGAATAGGTCCTTGTTATCATACGAAAATATAACCTTAATTCTGCTTAGTTCACTGAATTTGGATACATTGTCCTATTTTGGTTGCTGTGGGGAGTTGCTAACTCCGTTGTCTTTCTATTGTACATAAACCATAATAACTCAACAAAGGATAGTTTTTTGAAAAAAAAAATTACACTTGGATTATATACTATACAAAGACATTTTTTTCAATATCATTTTTTTTTATTTCTAGGGATTGCAGGAAGTTTTGGAAGAATTGTCTTCGGTTTATTGGCTGATCGGGTAAACTTTAGTATAATATTGATAGTGTTTGGACTACTGGTTGCGGCAGGTATTTGCATAGGAATAACATTCCTGCTGACTTCCTTCAATACACGCTTGATTGGGACGGTACTATACGGATTTTTCATAGGTTCGACTGCTTTTTGTGCCCCCACTTTAGGGGTGGGATTTAGATTTACCCTTGTCCGTCCGTCCATCAGTCCGTCCGTCCGTTCTCTTTAGTGTTGCACGTAGCTAAAAAAAGTATTTGACCTAGAGTCATGAAATTTTATAGAAATGTTGATCAGCATGTGTAGTTGTGCACCTGGGTATTTTCGTGTGGATATATTTAGTATTTTTTAAGAGTTATTGCCCTTGACTTTGTAAACATTGACAACTTTCAACTTGTGTCGCACGTAACTAAAAAAGTATTTGACATAGTATCATGAAACTTAATAGAAATGTTGATCAGTATGTGTAATTGTGCACCTTATTATTTTCGTGTGGATATGTCTCGTATTTTTAAAGTAATTGCCCATGACTTTTTAAACATTTTCGATTTTCAACTTGTGTCGCAAGTAACTCAAAAAAATATTTGATCTAGATTGATGAAACCTTACGAGAATGTTACTCAGCATGTTTAGTTATGCTCCTGGGATTTCGCTTGTGGATTTATTCTGTTTTGTTAGAGTTTTTGCCCTTGACTTAGTAAATATTTGCAATTTTTAACTTGTGTCACATGTAGCTCAAAAAGTATTTTACCTAGAGTCAGAAAGCTTTACAGGAATGTTGCCCAGTATGTGTAGTTGTGCATCTGAGTATTTTTATGTGGATTTGTTTAGTATTTTTAGAGTTCTTGCCCTTTACAGGAATAATGATCAACATCACCGTGAAGCTATGCACCTGGGGTTTTGCATGTGGATTTTTTCAGTTTTGTTAGAGTTATTGCCTTTGACTTAGTATAAATTTGCAATTTCTAACTTGTTCATGCATAACTCAAAACATATTTGACCTATAGGTCTGAAAGTTTACAAGAATGTTGGTCAGCCATGTACTTATGCACCTTGGGGTTTGCTTGTGGATTTATTCAGTATTTGTAAAGTTCATGCCCTTGACTTAGTAAACTATTTTTAGTTTCCAACTTGTTGCACATGTAGCCCAAAACATATTTGACCTAATGTCATAAGACTGACAAAAAAGTGGCGTGTGGGGGCACCCCTGTCCTATAGACACATTTCTAGTTTATGATCAAACGTTAGGTTGTCATTATTGTAAACTAAGTGGTGTTACCGAATGTTTTTAAATTCAAAATTTCACCATTTATGTGTTTAAATGATTGAGACGGTCCTAGGGGTCGTTGAAGCCTACTTGCTCTTCCCAATACCATCCATGAACACGCTCATTCAAATACTTGTAACGCTTGTGAAATGGCACTAACGTGTCATATTGAAGGTTCAATGATCATCACCATATTTACACATATGCGCTTTTACAATGTTTATATTTTGTATACTGATTATGCCGATGCTAGGGGAGCTTTCAAGTTCTCCATATTGTCCATGGCCACTCTTAATCAAACAAAGCCGGTAACATTTTCAGTTTTACCGTTTAAGCCTCTTTTATGATTTCCCATCTATATTTGAGAATTCTGAACAAAGATGCTTTTTGAAAGATATATATATATATATAATTATAGAAAATCACAAGATGTAAAATATTGTTATGAACGTATTTTTCCTAGAAACGCTTGTTTCAAATTCATAAATTTTTATTTTTCTAGGTGGTCATGTTACAACATGCCCTCTTGTACTTGTCGAACTGTTCTCGCCTGCAATGATTGAAAAGACCTTTGGTTTATACTTTTTTGCAGTTGGACTATCTGCGTTAGCGTTTACCCCTATAGGAGGTATATAAATTTTTTTTTGTTTTATCTCAAAAATCTTGAAAAATGGAGAAGTATATGGATAAAAATTTGAAAGTTTAATATTACATGCTCGGTTTGAGTGGACAGTGAAACATAATCGTAGAATTAAAAGCTCTCATTTGTTTCCAAAAATAATAAAAATACAACAGCATTGTTCAAATTTTAAAGTTCGGATCGACGTTTTATTGTTTCAAACTTTGCCTTATTGTGTTTCTATCAAAGTCTAGAAGATTTTGTCTCCTTAAATTACAAGATGTATTTGAAAATCAGATGTTATATATTTTAAAAAATTGATCATGAATTGTTACTTATACATAGCATTTTTCTGTTTTAAGGTCTCTTGTTTGACAAAACTGGCAATTATGACGTCACGTTCGTTGTAGCCGGATCCGAGCTGATTGTTGCTGGCCTCGTCATACTTTTGCTGAAAGTTATTAAAAAGAAAGGAGAAAATTCATCCTGAAATTGACCAATAAGCCATTTTCCCGGTGCAATGTATCAAAATATTGCTTTTCATGGAACGACCGGAAATGACGTTGAAGATTTTAGTGACGAACTACATGTATTTGTTTATTAGATAATAAGCGGCCTACAGTATACTTAATATTACACAGGCCAAAATGAAAAGGGTTTACAATCTAGATTTATTGAAAGGAGTGTGTTGTATTATTTCATACATTTATAACCTTAAATATTAAATAGATCACATTTGTACGGAGTCTAGAGTTAAATAATTAATAGTTTATCCTGCAATATTGTATAATAAATTGGAAATGATTTTTTTTATATTCTTATTCTATTTTCGTAGTACAACTAAATTGTTATAAAAAATGGCGAAAAAAATTTGTGTATTAATACTAAAATATTTAGCGTATATGTACATGTACGATAGAATACGATAAAACGACGTTACGACTTTAACTAGAGTAAGTGTAGAAACAGTTTTGTTTTTGTCATAATTAAAGTGGCAATTGTTAAGTTGTTAGTAGCTGAAAACAAATCATATTAAAATTGTTTCCATTGTTTTATTTTTTTGCTCTAGTACTATGCATATAAATTACAAATCTCATTTTTAAAACAATTCAATTGAGATTTTGTTTTACGCATGAAAACAATGGCTTGCAATGAAAATCATCTACATGTATTTCATTGCGAGCTCGCGAATTCTGAGCATGTTTGGTTAAAGTGTATGTTATGGGGCTGTAACAAGGACGTCATCACACTTTTGTACTTGATTTCGTTGGAAACTTGTCATCGCAAATGATGTGATAAAAATGAAACATCCTGTGCTCAACCGCAATCAGTTAATTGGTTGCTTTCTTTTCCTAAGAAAAAGTCATTTGCAACCATTTGATAACAAACATATATTGTGACACATTCATATATACTCATTAAAGCTGCATTTGCAATTTTCACAAAATTCAAACAATATTCTCGAATCCATAAGACTATGTTTAGTATAGATTTAGGAAACGTTTTCACCTTAATTTATTAAAATAATAAACTTACCGAGGCTCAGAAGTCGCCATTGATGAAAATCGACGATCAATGGTATAAAAGATAAAGAGATTGAAGATGTCAAAGTCTGATACATTTGAATAGCCTATGATAGAGACGATGAAATGCAAGGCGGGCCATACACGATACCTGCATTTTCCACCATTGCCACCTTCCATAGTTCAGGAAGCACTTCCTTTCTTAAAATTACACTTGACTATTTAGTCCGCTGTCGATAAAATCAAAAGACGGACGGAAAAAAGTATTGGTGTGCCTTTTTACATGTCTCCTTATCAGAGCTATATATTTGGAACTTGAACAAGATATGTCTACGGAGATATTCTAACTGGGGTTCAAACGATTTATATCTCAAAGAGGAACACCTTCAGAAATTATTAGCGATAATGCATCTCAATTCAAGGCAGCAAGTCAAACAATAAATAGTATATGGCGAAATGTGTGTCAAAGCCATGAAGTGCAATCTTACGAAGCCAATGCTAGAATCAAGCAAAAATTCTTTGTGGAATTAGCTCCGTGGATAAGAGGAGCATACGAAATACTAGTTGGAATCGTAAAACGAACTTTTCGTAAATCTCTAGGAAATAAATTCCTTAATTTAGTTCAAATGCATAGGTCAGAGTAGAGGTCTATCTAATGACCGCCTAGATGAACAAAAACTTAAAAACAGGAAAACATTCAGTTAATGTTTACTATATAATGACAGATTATTTATCTGTATTGGTAAATTCAGTAATACAGCACTCAGAGAATATTGCTGCATTCTTTTTTATTTTTTACGCAGATTTAGATTTTATCTACTTTGTGGTTAATCACCATTATTACAGACAATTTTTTAGATATACATTCAATTCAGTTCAACTTGACAATAAAGAATAAGCATAATGTCACTTTATACATACATGTATATCCTATTGCACTGTCGTAAATTTGTAAAATTTAAAAGATGGGGACATTTCAACTTCATGAATTTCCGATTTCAGCTTCATGAATTCTCGATTTCTACTTCACGAACTCACATTTTGTATTTTACGGCACCATTGAAATGAAATTTATTGAGTTTAATCCAAATAAATGCATTTAAAAACCATGTTATTTCAAAAGTGTAAAGACTTGACTAAAATAAGTGCAAGACAGATTAAAAAAAAACAAAAAAAATCATAGTTTCAATTATGTTGAAAATACATGTAGTTATGAATAAAATGAAACACGGGCTTACGTGCTCTCGATCCCGTAGTTTACCGTATTGCGCTAAAACGGTTAGTGTAACAATTACATCGAAATAAATTTAATGGACTGTATAATCAGTATTTAATGACAGGTTAATAAAATCAAACAATAACAGATACATTCAATACAACAACTCATTTGACATTAAAGAGCAAATATAATCTTGTTGTTTATGTTTATTTACTAGTATTGCTGATAAATTTGATAAAATATTTCATAAGCTAAAGCTTTAAACCATTTAACTTTTGTGAGACTATTGTCATTCAAAAAGTTAATATAAATGAACGTGTATTTAAGCAAGTGTATGCTTTGTTAACCTTGACATGGTCCAAAGGTCTTATTATAGCTTGGTATTTACAACTATTATATTACTTGTTGTGTTTATAACCGATAAATTAAAAGATCAGATCAAAGGTCGAGTGATTTAATACTCTAAAACTTATGCGCTCTACTTACTTTAACACACCAGCGGGTTATCAAAATTATAGCAATTTAGAGCTTAAGTAAGAGATGTCACGCTCTCTACGCAAATTTTATATTTTTTTCTCTCATAAAGATTGGTAAATTGACGAGGGTTTAAAGAAGTTGAATGTATTAAGTGTATAAAAATGTAAATCACTTATTACAAAGAGGACATAATACTCGTACCAGTTGCGTCTCATGACTTAATTTACCATCATACGCTAATGTTTGGATACAGAAAGGAATAATACAAAGCGAATATATATTAAATCGAATCGTGCACATCTGTTTAAAGCTATTTTGATTCTTTAAGTCATTTTTAGCGGCAATGAAGTGTGATCTCACAAATAGGGGTATAGATAAGGGATATGGAGTAATAATAATCTGGTCTTCATTCTGTCTTATTACCATAACAGATGGTATCTTGTTTTCGTTTGGAATATTAATGGTAGAGCTACTAGAAGAGTTCAACAAAGATCGTGCTACTAGTGCAATTATAGGGTCTATTTTGATAGGTTTTGGCGGTTTCAGCGGTGAGTATGAACTAAATCAATTAAGAAGTTTTTGTTAATGTTTTTGAAGAAATACCAGACCTTTGTTACAATTCTTCAGCATTTGACATGTGAAATGACTATTCTATTAGCACACGGAAGGTTGATGCTTCTACTCGGATGTCCACTCGTTTCTGATAGAATGTGTACAGATGCACCAGTCAGTTATAGCAGAGACAAGTCTCAAAAATCGCCGTATGCATTTTAAAATTCTTGAACTGACTTTCCAGACCAAATCCCTGGAAACAATTAAAGGTTGAGCGAATGAGATTCCGTTATAATAGAAATATAATTACTTATTTATGGAATAATTTATAGAGGTTTAAAAGGACTCACTTTTGTTCTCAATTCTTTGAAAATATATCCTCGGCTAGTGCTTTATTTTTTTTAATATTCAAATTTAGAAAAACAAAAGCTTTATTTAATCGGAAATAATTTGTCTAACTGCAGGTCCTTTTGGTGGTGGTCTATGTAATAAATATGGTTATCGCACTACCGCGATAATTGGAAGTTTTGTATCATGTTCAGGTTTATTTATCAGTTACTTCGCTACCAGCCTATATTTCCTATATTTTTCATATGGTTGCCTTGGAGGTAAGTAAAATTCTAAAAGGTATAAACCCTTATCTTAATATGCATATTGTTATATAAAATTCATGAATAATGGTAAAAAAATGTTGAATTTTTCTTTCGAAATCCCTTTGGTAGATTCCTGAAAGAGCTGTGGCATAGAATGTCTTTCTTAATTAGAACACATATGTATAGTTTATCTAAACAGAATAAAATGTTTCGAAAAAAAAACATTATGTGTGTGTGTGTGTGTTTGTGTGTGCGTGTGCGTTGGTGCGTGCGTACGTGCGTGTGAGTGTGTGAGTGCGCGTGCGTGCATGTGAGTGTGTGTGTATGTGTTTTATTTTTTTCAGTAAGGTTTTTGATTAAAAGCAACTATTTCAGTTCTTGTATGCGCAATAAGTTTTTTTGGACAATCTTTGACATATTTCATTTATACAGGAAATTTGGAATTATTCTTTGTCAAAAGTAAAACAATATGAACTCTACAGATATATAGCTTTATTCACTTTTAGCTTAGATATCTTTTGTAAAAAATAGGATTGTTCACAAGATTGTTCTTGATTTGCAAAACAAAGAAAAATGTGTTATTGTAGTATGTTAGAGATGTTTTTATGCGCCTGTAAACATACTTTTCATGCATTCGCCATAAAATGTCCGGGGCATATATCGTTCCAGTGTTCCGTCAATTATCAGTTTCCGTTCATTATCTTGTCAATAGTCACACGCATTCAAATTTTACATATGGATACATCATAGGGATGTGCAGGTCAAGATCAAATTTGGCTAGGGTCCGATGACTTCTGACAAAGTAATGCCTCTTGAAGAAGTGTTTGATTCCCTCCATTATATTCCCAACAGTTGTACAGATTAAATACAAATTTGACAAATAGAAACATCATAGGAATAAGAAGGTTAAGTTTGAGTTTGGTTATGTTTCAATGATTATGAACAACGTTATTGAAAAAAAATGTAATTTCAACGCATTTGTTTGTATAAGGTTGAAATCACATGTGCAGGTATTTAACCAGAAAATACAAGTCAAATTCGAATTTGGCTTTGGTCCGATGCTTTATGACAGAGTTATCCTTCTTAAACTTGAGAATTGAGAAGAAAACAATAATTCAAAGCCATTTTCGTATTGTGTAATATCTTCAAATGAATATATAAATGTATTCTTATTTTTATTGATCTAGTGTGTTCGTGAAAATATATTTAAATCATTTTGTCTATAGGTGCTGGCCTAGGACTTGTTTACATGACAGCAAATATAATAAATGTACACTACTTTTCTAAATACAGAGGCATAGCTTGTGGAATAGCATTATGTGGATCAGGTTAGCCTTTTTCTATAATAAAATATTTGAAATTCGTAAAGAAATGAAAAGCAGACATTTTGTAATAATCCAGAATGATGATCATTGCCCGTTACTATTTTTGAATTTAAAATGATCAAGTCGTATTTTACATAAATGTTTTGCTGTCGATTGAATGAATATAAAAATGACAGATTTTTCCATGAAAAAAAAACGTCTCTCTACTCAATGCAGCTTTTAAATCTTTGAGTATTTAGTTGCCTTAACACCCAGATAATTGTCTTGAATACCCTAAGTCATTCTTTGGTTCTAATAGTTTACAAGATAGTCGTAAAATATCCACAAAAAGAAAATGATTTATTGAAAATTTTTAAAGAAACATATATAACAAAATCACCTCTAAATGAGACTTAATTGTTAATTGTTCTTATAGTGTGCAATATTTATTATCAATGACTTCAAACTGCTTAGTATCGTATTTAAATGCAAAAAAAATATTTGACTGTGCTATACAATGTTGGTTATGATTTGTAATGTTAAAAATGAAATTGCGTTGTATTTTAATTGAAAATATGATACTGAGTTGAATAAAACAGACATTATTTTGATATAGGTGTAGGATCATTTGCTTTTAATCAGGTATATCGTATTCTCATACACGAATATGGTTGGAGAGGAACTGTTTTGATTCAATCGGGGATATGTCTTCAATGTCTGGTATTTGTTCTTCTCCTTCTTCCACCGACAAAAGATGACCAAAGTGAAATTCTGGCGTCTCAAATGACGATATTTTCCATAATAAGTGATAGCGAATCAGATAATGTACGAAGCATAGACGACAACTGTGCGCATAGAAATGATGTGGACAGAGTAGTAGACTGTATTGACAATAATCGCATAAATGAAAGATCAACAAACCACTCTGGTACAGCGCATCACAAGAAAAAAGAACGTACTAAACAATCTTGTATCATACGCAATCCGTGCCTTAAGTATTTATTCAAAGACTATTTTGACACTAAACTTCTAACCGATATGAGGTTTTGGATATTTATTTTATCTACTATCATCGTACATCTAGCATTTTCTGTGGTAGTACACATGACCGCCGATAGTGCTGTCGAATCAGGAATGTCAAAGTTTGAAGCGTCATGGCTCGCGTCGTCAATTGGTGAGCTATTATTTTATAAATATTTAAATCTAAGGGACAGCGTAAATTCGCAACAAATACATAATAAAGACTGTTTAGATATCTTAGGATGCTTTAATATTGAACCCGACCGAAATGTTGTTATTTGTGATGTATTAAACACAACTCATCCATATCGGTGGGTGGCTTATTTGAGAAATCTACGGGACCCTCTTTGCTCATGTATAGGTAATTCTCTGCTGAAAACAATTCTGGGGGATGCACCAGTATCCTACATAATATCTCAATGTTTTGTAGCATTCACAATTAGCAAAGAATGACCTCTACATGAGCAAAGAGAGTACCGTTTAAGAAGACTTTGCGAAGAGGGTACCGATATGGATATGCACTGTGTAAAATTATCATTATATTTTGACACTGATACGTTACACAATAGGTCTTTGTTATTGTACGTAAATATAACATTAATTCACTGCTTAGTTCACTGAATCTGATGACATTGTCCTTATATGATTGGTGTGGTGAGTTGCTAACTCAGTTGTCTAACCATTGTACATATTACATAATTATTTGACAAACGATTGTTTTAAAACACTTTGATAATATACTGTACAAAGAAATAAATTTGTTTTTGTGTATTTTTCATTTTATATTTTCAAGGGATTGCAGGAAGTTTTGGAAGAATTGTCTTCGGTTTATTGGCTGATCGGGTAAACTTTAGTATAATATTGATGGTGTTTGGACTACTGGTTGCGGCAGGTATTTCCATAGTAATAACATTCCTGCTGACTTCCTTCAATACACGTTTGATTGGGACGGTACTATATGGATTTTTCATAGGTACGACTGCTATTTTATTATCAAACGTTAGGTTGTCATTATTGTAAACTTATTGGTGTTGCCGGATGTTTCTAAATTCAAAATTTCACCATTTTTGTGTTTAACAGTTAAAGCCGGTCCTAGGGGTCGTGGAAGCCTACTTGCTCTACCCAATACCATCCATGACCACGCTCAGTCAAATTCTTTTACTTGTGACCCTTGTAAAATGGTGCTAACGTCATATTGAAGGTTCAATATTCATCACCATATTTACACATTTGCGCTATTACAATGTTTACATTTTGTATACTGATTATGCAGATGCTAGGGGAGCTTTCAAAGTTTCCGTATTGTCCACCCTCAATCAAACTAAGCCGGTGACATATTCAGTTTTACCGTTTAAGCCCCTTTTATGAGTTCCCATCTATAAAATCACAAGAATTGTAAAATATTGTTATGTAAGTATTTTTCCTAGATAGCTTGTTTCAAATATATAAATCTTATTGTTTTAGGTGGTTATATTACAACATGCCCTCTTGTGCTTGCCGAACTGTTCTCGCCTGCAATGATTGCAAAGACCTTTGGTTTATACTTTTTTGCAGTTGGACTATCTGCGTTAGCGTTTACCCCTATAGGAGGTATATAAACTTTTTTGTTTTATCTCAAAAATCTTGAAAAATGGAGAAGTACGAAGGCAAAAATTTGAAAGTTTAGTATTTCATGCCTGATTTGAGTGGACAGTGAAACATAATCGTGAATTAATAGCTCTCATTTGTTTTCAAAAATAATAAAAATACAACAACATTCAAATTTTAAAATTCGGAGCGACGTTTTAATGTTTCAAACTTTGCCTTATTGTGTTAACTTCTATAAAAGTCTAGTAGATTTTGTCTCGTTAAATAACAAGATATATTTAAAAATCAGATGATATATATGTAAAAAAATGATCATGAATTGTTACTTATACATAGTATTTTCTGTTTAAAGGTCTTTTGTTTGACAAAACAGGCAATTATGACGTCACGTTCGTTGTAGCCGGATCCGAGCTGTTTGTTGCTGGCCTCGTCATACTTTTGCTGAAAGTTATTAAAAAGAAAGGAGAAAATTCATCCTGAAATTGACCAATAAGCCATTTTCCCGGTGCAATGTATCAAAATATTGCTTTTAATGGAACGACCGGAAATGACGTTGAATAGTTTAGTGACGAACAACATGTATTTGTTCGCTTACTACATTATACCTAATATTACACAGGCCTATATAAAAAGGGTTCACAATCTAAATTTATTGAAAAGAGTGTGTTGTATAATTTCATACATATATAACCTTAAATATTACATAGATCACAATTGTACAGAGTCTAGAGTTATATAATCAATTTTACACCTTGCATGTATTGTATTATAAATTCAAATTTGGATGGTCTGAAGAACACATAATGACAATTGAAGTTGCATCAGAATTAAATGACATAAAATGAAGGTAATTGATATTTTATATTCTTATTGTTATAAAGAAATGGCGGCAAAGACTTATCTTGTTACAAACTAGACATTTTCTAATCAATATTAATAATGCTACAAAGAAGTATGCTTATATTTACGATAGAAAACGATAAAATGACGTAACCGCGCGGAAAATTAATAACGAATTATAATAATGTAGAAATAATTTATTTTGTTTTTGTAATAAATGAAGTTGCAATGGCATAGAGAATTATACTATTATAACATTAACTGTGCATTTACCCTGATGATCATAAGAGAAACCGGTTTTGTATTTTCCCATTTTATAAATTTCACAGTATAAACGTTTCAGCTAGGTTATGTAAAGAACGCTATTTTATTGATGTTTTTAATCCAAAACTTAATACTATATTATGACGTTATTAGTTTTAGATTATGCGTACACATGTGTACACAAAAACGCCGTCGTTACTATGCGACGACGTCACATTTGCCCTGATGATCATAAGAGAAACCGGTTGGCAAATAACTAAATAAGTTTACTCATTGACTGTGTTTTTTGTTTTGTTTTTATATATATATGAAAGAAAGAAAGACATGAGCGAGAAAGCGAGATATAATATATAGAGAAATCGCACGAAAAAATCTTGTTGTTGTTGATGTTGATGTTGTTTTTCTTTTGCTGATTACCCGAACTGTGCAGTGAAAATGCATCATCATAACTTTGTTATATTCTAGTTTTATTCCTTATTCTTTCACCAGTAATGATGGAAAGTTGCCATATGACCTCCAACATGTTAGTGCGACATTACACCCAACGAAACAAAATATACATAAACATTTATTGGACATAAAACCACAATTAATTTCGATAAAATGGACTACATAGACACGCTATTCCGACTACAATTATGATTTCCTTGCCTTTCTTTAAATCAAACTATGAACCTTACATACAAGTCTTGGGTAATAAATATTTGTAATGAAATATATAATAAGTATTTATTTAGTTAATTAAATCAAAAACGAAATTGATTTCTTTCTATGATTTTAAGTATGAAGTTTTTTAAATGTTAGTTAAATGTCATTATCACATTCAGTCTTTCCTTTACTTTAATTCCAATGAGAAGACCTAAATATGAAAAAAAATATTTGAAATAAGCTGTCTTCAATAACGTCTAACTATTAAATAGCAAGAGAAAATATATACCGCCATAAAACCCCCGGCGTCCCAACATAAAACCCCCCAAAGGGCACAATATGACGATTGTGTTTTAAATGTGAAAAATATTGAGATAAATAAACTACTACGAAGAGACCGACCAACACGATCATAAATTATTATTAACTTAATTCATTCCAAGTGTGCATTTAATATAAAGTACAAAGATGCCTTGACTTTCTTCAGTACTTTTTTTATTAAACAACAGATGGCAAGCCAGGACTATTTCAATTTGCTACTGCCGTACATACACTTCAAATAAATAATATCGTTACATAAATTAAAGAAAATACTACGTAGGCATTCTGGCAATAATTAAAAGACAACATTAAGTAGTTGAAGTCAATAATTCTCTTACGAAAGTTCAAAATCTTATGTTTTAAACCACAAACAATCCTGAATTAATTTATACACCAAGAAATTGTTTCATTGAAGTCTTTACTGCATTCTTTCCTTGACAACAAATGTCGTTCTGTTTTTAAGTGGAAATGTAATGTAGTTTCGGCAAAACATTTGTTTCTGTGTGTTATCACTTGAAAAAATTACAATAAGAAACAGGATTCCAGTTTTCACTAGTTTTGTTGAAGGTTACATAAATACAGCAAAGGAAACTTACAATAATTATTTGGTATACTCTTTAATTTCCGGGCGGTGTTGTGTTTAACATTGCTCTGCATCCAAAGACATTTGTTCTTTGTATTCATGCTTGTTTTCATTTCGTTTGTTTGAACGGAAAACACTAGGCAAACAAAGATCGGGCTAATTTTCATTGTCATCTCGTATAATTGACTTGCAAGTTTAATTGCAAGTTTCTTTGCAGCGGGTATCTTACGTTGATTTGCCAGTCATCGTAGCCCCAAATAAAGTTGGATAGAACGATTGCAGGTTCACAAATTGCATATGTTTTGATTCATGCACGATCATCGTGGGGTAGTCGATTGTCACATGCTGAGTGTGAAATGATTTATCTGAATTTAGAACACTATTATGAGTTTGTATCAATGAAGTTTAAAAAACAAACCATTCTTCATTCACATAATCAAAATCATTATAGAGAGAAACAGAATCCCTAAAGAAAACCCAACACGACAAAAATGAAAATGTTGCAGACTCGGTTTGACTGAACCTGTTCATGGACGTTACTTGGAAGTGCAAGTAACCGCTCACGCCCCCTAACACCGGCTAAAGGAGAATTCAACATTTAATCATCGTTATAGTGAAATTTTGATTTTAGAAACATCCGGAGATGTGTTCATACGGCAGTCATCATGGAACATACTTGAAATATTTGAAAGTGTTTACCAGTACCCTTTCTTTGATTTTATGCATTTTCATTATTCAATAAGACTAAATCAAACAAAACAAATTTTCTGGGTCGTATTTACGCAGACTAAATTCCAGGCTCTTGTTTGTTGATATAACAAACGATTTGCGTCCCTGAATGCATTCAAATATTTATGAATTTTGCCAATGTGCTGTTCCAAATAGTTTGAAATTAAACGAGAGCACAATTCGCACTGGTGTATAGAAAAAACTGTCAAAAACTTCAAAAACTATTCGATTTACAAAAGAATACCGAATCTCTGAAATTAAAAGTTCTTTCACTCATCTTCACTCATCTTCAAAGATGTCACAAATAATTTAGAAAGTAAACATTTTCAACTACCCGCTTTGCTTGGCATATATTCTATGAAAGTTATTACTATAAATATATACAAAGAAAAGTAATCTGTTCGAATTATATCATATAATATAATCATATCTACTACATGTTAGCTTACGTACCGTTCTATCACCAGCCGCTATCTAAAAGTTACTCTCCCTAAACAAATTTAGAGCTCAAATGTGACGTTAAGTTATGGTTACGAAAATCTTTAGATAGTTTGCATCCTTAAATAAATAAGATATAAATGCATTTCCGACTAGTTGATATATTATACCACGTCAAATTATATCGTATTTTGTAACTATTTTGTCGTGTAAAATACAATGAGAGTTGTAAGTTAATCCGTGCAATGTTTTAAAAATTAATATCGGAATTTTCTCTAAAGTTGAAGATTGCATTTTCTCAAGCATATGTATTGTAAGTATAATTGATATAAATTTATTTCAATTTATGTGATACGTTGTAAATAATAAAGTACACATGTGCATACTTTTTATAATATAGAAATAAATATTGATATCAATAAATCGTTTACCTGAGTGGCAAAAATAGATTTATTCTTAGGTTACGTTTGCAATAAATTAAAGATCCTGTAATACAATTTTTTCATGGTTTTATTTCATAAATATGATGCTCAAATTAAGATTTGTTAATATTGTAAGTTCCAATAAGCATTATTTATAAAGATTTTACCCAATTTAATATTTCATGTAAATAAGGGGAAGTAATTAGAAATTTATTTTTTATAAGTTGTAAGTCAAATTTTCCAATAAGAAATGAATGCATGTAATTTATTGATTAAATATAATGTACACAAATATTTGCAGTACACATTTTACATATTCTTCGATGTTTGAAAATTGTTTTATTTGCATAATTATATACATATATAATTTTTTGCAAATGTGGTATACACACAGTAACAATATCAATCACAAAACATACAGGATCTTTAAGGTGTTTCTAACATATAAGCGGCTATAAGTATATAGATAATAAACTGGGTATTATTAGATTCAAAGCTCATATTTTAGATACAGTGCCCATAGGCAATCGATTAGTATTATATTACATTAAATCAATATATTTTTAGCAGACCAAATCGATATGAATTGATTAAAATGTATACAATAGCGATTATACTTGATATACTTCGAGCCGGTGCTAGAGGGCGTGGACGGTTGGTTGCATTTACCACTACCGTCCATGAGCAGCTTGAATCAACCGAGTCTAGTATACATGTATTTTTAATTTTAAATTTGCCGTTTTTTGTTTGCTTTAGTGATTCTGTGTTACTCGTTTAAATTCATCAAAGCCGTCGATAGATTTTAACAACTTTGCTTATCACTATGCACAAATGCAATGTCGATCATCAATGGACAATGTAGGCGTTCGTATGTTCTTTATACAAAGCTGCACCGCGATGTTTGCCGGCGGTCGTCAACCATTTATACTAAGACCATTTAACTTTTAATAAATGTTTATAATTAATTCAAGCATTAAGATATGACTCATTACATGACATGCAAACATTCAAACATAAAAGATAAAATATGCGGGTGTGACCTATATACCCCACTTTATCATTTAATAACTGAACTAAGTGTGAACCATTAATGCTCCTTAATTGACTACTCAATTTGCATGTAAATATCTTGGATATGACTTTCTCTTAAAGAAGTCCAAGATATTGTCGCTACAACTAATTGCTTCCTAGGCATTTCGCGTGTTACTGCCACAATCAGACTAAATTGTTAAAAA